GGGAGGTGACTGAGGAGCACAGCTGGAGTTCCTACTCCAGCACTCCTCTGCTGGACGCACAGCAGGGTTCTGAAGGCAGAGAACACAATGCTAAACCACACACGTTCAAAATGCACCAGTCTGCTTCACAAACGCCACTAAGGAAACGCACTTCAATTTGTCCTGCACCTTTGAAAAAACTGATTGCACTTAATTCTTTTGCATATACTACCAAATTATTTACTGCAACAATCATAATACTAGCATACCAAGTTACTTAAATTAACTCTCTCTCTTTCTCATACATACACACAGTTTTTATTAAGCCTTATTTAATGATAATGCTAACACTAAACTCATATCTTGGAGACAGAAGATTAAAAAGTAACCAACCCCATCCTCCTACACCCTTAATCTCACTCCAGATCAACAAAATCTCCCTGTTCCTCAGTCTCCTTCTGTTGAAAGCCTTTCATTCCATCACTGCCTACCATAAATGCCATTGCTTCCAGTCTTCTTTGATGCTGCCAATTGGAAAAAAAATCATTTCTTCCTCCAACCCACTTGGAACATTCAGACCCGCTTTTACCGCGTACTATTACTACCACTGTAATCTACGCCTCAACGTCTATGGCATGATCAACTTAACAGGCTAGGAGGCTCGCTTTTCTGTCTTAAGACTCATGAATACCAAGCAGTCAGGTGATTCCGAAAACCTACACACTGAATGAATTCTAAAACAACTCTATAAATTCAAGGTATTTAAGCTCATTAAGCAGATGAAGAAACTGACCAAAGTGAGGTCTTTAAATCCAGATTTGCTAAAGCTAGGAAAAAAACACAGGCTTTTTTTCCCACAACAGCTAGCTTGATAACCTACACAACTATTTTTAATTGGAGAATTTCCATGTCAATAGACTGTGTTCACCCTAAATAAATGATATTTCAAGTATGATCATAAATCTTAATTGTATTAACCATGAGCTTAGTGTAGATAGTAAAGTTGACCTTGAGTAACTACTGCTGGGAAGGAAAACACAAAAACATTGTCAGCTATGTAAAAGCTCATATATTCACCAGAAGCCATTATAACCTGAGTTATAATTTCATCACACACAATTTAAAGCCTTAAGAAAAATATTTATGAGAAATAATGAGTTCAGTAACTTATTTCTCAGACATCTGCTCTATGCTTGGCACTACAGGGGTCTGAAATGCAAAAATAAAAAATTCATGCTCTCTGGAATACAAAATAAGCATGCCAGTTGAAAAAATACCTGGTTTGGCATTACTAAGATCATTAAAAGTCCAAAACAAAGTATAAGGGATATCAGCATTATCTTTTTTAAGTCAAGTTTCGCTGCAGGCTGGGACTACCACTGTAGCACAAGGAAGCCCTGTTTGAGATCTCAGCAGCCTGTATCAGAATGCCAGCTGGATTCCTACTTGCTGCATCAGTGAGAGCAGTGCGCGATGGCCTGTGTCCCTTAGTCCCTGACACTGATGGGGAGACCGCAATGGATTCTGGGTTCATCACCTTGCAGCCTCCGCAGTCATCACAGCCATTTGGCGAGTGAACCAACAAACGGAAGCTTGCTTTCTTCCTTTCTCATTCTGCTTTTCAAGTAAAACAAGTAAATAAATATGTAAAAGTAACATCTGTTTTGGGCCCTAGTAGTAGGTTAAGGCAAACTCTACATTGCCAGCACCCTACATGGTGCAGGTTTGAATCCTGGCTCCACTCCCATCCAGCTCCCTGCTTATGGCCTGGAAAAACAGTGGAGGATGGCTCAGGCCCTTGGGCCCTTCAGACACAATGGTGACACGTAAAGAAGCTCCTGGCTCTTGGTTTTGAATCAGCTCAGCTCCAGCTACAGTGGCCATTTGGGGAGTAATTCAGTGAAGATCTCTTTTTCTGTCTCTCTTTCATGCTATAACTATGACTTTCAAACAAAAAGCAAAACAAATCTTTCCCCAAAAAAGAACATCTGTCTGTAAATCAATTTCGTCTCAAAATTCATCATGCAGAAATTAATTTTCCTTAATGATTCAGTTATCATCATAAGCATAATTACACAGACTTTGTCCTTAAATTAAAAGCTTTTGTCTGCAAGAAGCTTTGAGATTTTATGTCTGTTTTTCGTCACTTGTGTGTTTCCTCTGTATCACTTACTTCCGTCTCCATTCCGACATTCCCAGTATTTTATGGGTCCCTGTTACAGTCCAAGAAGTATTCCATGTGTTAGAGACACAATGGTGGTCAGAAGACACAACAGCGTGAGAAGACTTTTCCAGTGGAAAGACAGTTAACAAGAAGCATAATATACAATGTTATGTAATCATAAGAACTCAGGAAACGAACGTAGATTTAAAAGACACAAAGGGGCAGAACAGAGTAAATTACTATCTTAGCACAAGGTGATCAGGAAAGGCCTTACTGAAGGCAGCATTTGGGTAGAGGCCTGAATGAATAAAATGAGTATACCCCTGCATACATCTTGGGGAAGTGCCTTGCACCACTCTTACAAGACAATGGAATTGGTGCAGTCAAGGAGCAGTAATAACACAAATATGGTAGGGAACAAAACGAAATTGAGTGTGGGGCAAGATTAATGGATACAAAGTCAACAGCGCCCAGAGGTGGAGGTGAGATCCTGTAGGGTCCTGTTTGCTATAGCAGGGAGTTCAAGTTCCATTGCAGGACAAGCCATGGCTAGATCTTAAACAGGAAAATGGTGTGACCTGACACACATTTCAAAAGGACACTGGTGATTCTAAGCAATGTGGGGAGGGAGGCAGTCCATAAGCAAAGAGGAGCTGAGGGACTGCCAGCAGTCCTGAATCACTCAAACCTTCCATGTCAACCCAACATGACTCTGGCTCTGAACAGCCATTCTTGGCGCTCCTGATTCTTACCTCCCATGACGTACAGACGGGTTCCCTAGAGAGGACCACGTGTACATGAAAGCTCCGCATGGAGACACAGTAACACTTCTGAGATCCCCCAAGTTAACAACCAAGTTCTGCCCCAAACTCCTTCTCACTGGGGTATTTAATTAGGGTTCCACCTCCTTGTCCTGTAACAGGAAAACTCCACCTTTGCTGAGGGCAGCAATTCTTGTCTCATCAAGACAGCCTCATCACACTCAAGTTTGAGTGTGTACTGTCCTTTTAAACAAATTGTGCTTTCCTATGCACCTATAGGCTTGTTCCTTGAATCCCTTCACACAGAGAAAAAAAGCCTGGAACAAGCCCAGTCAACAGTTCCAAGGCGCGCAAGAGGAGGAGGCAGGAGTAGCTGCAGGGAGACAAGTTCAGAAGAGCTACTGAGGTGTGCTAAAAAAGAAATGGTTGTGGGCCCAGAGCAGTTGCCTAGTAGCTAAATCCTTGCCTTACATAAGCCAGGACCCCATATGGGTGCCAGTTTATATCCCAGCTGCTCCACTTCCCATCCAGCTCCCTGCTTGTGGCCTGGGAAAGCAATAGTGGACAGCCCGGAGCCTTGGGACCCTGCTCCCACATGGGAGACCCAAAACAAGCTCCTGGCTCCTGGCTTCAGATCAGCTCAGTTCTGGCTGTTGCAGCTACTAGAGGAGTGAACTAACGGACAGAAGATCTTTCTCTTTGTATCTCCTCCTCTCTGTCAATTTGCCTTTCCAATAAAAATACATAAATCCTAAAAAGAAAAGAAATGGCTGCACAGATAACGACGGTGCTGGTGAAGGAGGTGAGGGTTGAGAAGTGATTAGATTTAGACTGTTTTTGGAAGACAGGGCAACAGGATTTGTTAAAGACACTGGAGATAGAGTGTAAGGAAGAGACACTGGAAGATTTTCAACCAAATTGGGATGAAAGATGGTGTCACATAGAAGAGAAAGCACATCTAGGGGTAAAAGTCAAAGGGGGTTCTGTGTGTACCTAAGTTTGAGATAGCCATTAGACTTCAAATATCATTCAGAAGAGAGAGGATGTATACTTGGACCATTAGCATATAGATGGCATTTATAGCTGGAGGGTTGAGTAAGATTGCCTAGGGAGGAAATGAATGTAAACAATAAATTTCATGATTGAGCCCAGCTGCTTTATCACTTCACTGTCACGATCAAAAGAATGGCTGGCAAAGGATGCTGGGAAAAACCAGCACAGTGTGGACTTTCCACAAAGAAAACACAAACAAGCAACCCCAGAAAAAGTGTTTTGGGATCCTGTGATGTGGTGGGCTATGTCACCACCAATGACACCAGTTTCCCACCGGGGCACCGCTTCCAGTTCCAGCTGTCCCACTGACCCAGCTCAGGTGGAAGATGGCCCAGGTCCTTAAAGCCCTGCACCCACGTGGGAAGTAGCCGAGCACCCGGCTCTGGACTGGGCCATGCTCGGGGACAAACCAAGAGATTAAAGACTTCTCTCTATATTGCTTCCTTTCAAATAAATAAAAAAATGTTTAAGTATTTCAACAAGTAGTCATCAACAATACGACATACGATTGAGAGTTTTGCCAATTTGGAGGAGAGTTAAATAAGATTATGCCTCCTTTGCTGTTACATTATTTCAGCAATCCTTCCTACTTCCTGATTTTTCATTTCCATAGACTATGAAATTGCATAACCAGTTTTCTTAAAACTGTATGTGAAGTAACTGTAATTATGTCCTGGAAGGATGTTAGTGTTTCCAATAAGCAAGCTGAATGACTTCTATAACACACTCTTTAACCTCATCTATGATTAAGGAAGATAAAGTTCTTGATTACTGAGTTCTAAGCAACCTTAGATAAAAACTGGAAACGTTGCAGAATCAGAGAGCACACACTAGCAATGCTTGAAAGTATAACCTTACCCAAAGAGAGGAAAAAATAAATAACAATGACGAAAAAGTCCATATCAATTACAAAAACCAAAACCTAATCCCAACCTATTCCTCTCGGCTGCTTTGGCAGATGCATGCTTGTTTCATTACAGATGGACAGAAGATGACACAGTCACACTATGACACATGAATAATTCAAGACGGAAACTACTTACCGGCAAGCACAAGTGTTATATTCAGTACAATGAATATTCCACAAAAGAGACCGACTCTAAAAGTAGTCCACGCTGGCGCAGGCTGTGAAGAGAGAAACAGCACTCTGAGTACCCGGCCGGACACCGTGACTTACCAGTATCACGGAGCCCAAATTTCTGCTATGAATATATTTTATAAGCAGTGCACCTGTAAATCTAAGCCAGAGGACCATCCATCTCTCCCCGTCCTACAGCACATGGAGTTGCCACTTAATTGAATTATTTATACAAATCTGAGTCTCAAAATAAGATGACAATTGTAGGTATTACATTGTATGTGCACTGAGTTTTTCTGCAGGAGACCTAACAGGCAATTTAATTTCTAAAATGTATACACCTCTACATTTGGTGAGTCACGGCTGCTCAGTTAAAGTCTGCATGCTTTGTCCAACGGGTACTAGAGGGAATAGTCAAAATAAGAACATCATTTTCTACCAGAACTTATACTACCCTGTAGTAATTTTTCTTAATTATTTTTATATATTTGAAAGGCAGTGAGAATGAGAGAGACAGAGAGGAAAAGAGAGCGCCCAGACAGACAGCTAGTCAGACCTACAGAAAGTTTTGTTCCACTGGTACACTGTTCCGATGTTTCTAACAGACAAGGCTGGGCTGAGCCCAATCCAGGAGTCCAGCACTGAATTCCAGGTCTCTCCCACGGAACCTGGCAGATTCAACAAGCAGAGAGCTCTCCCGCTGCCTCCCAGAGTGTGCTTCAGCAGAGAGGAGCCAGGGCCTAAAACGAGGCGCCCTTCTAGGGGATCTGGTTATCACAAGGGTGTCACCACCACTGACCAAACACTTGCCTCCTGAGGAGGGACTTAAAATCGACATTTTAAAATAAACTAGATATTCTGAAGGGACTAGCACATCAGGCACAAAGTCAGAATTTCCAGACTGTGTTAAGTTTAAAAAAAGTTCTTCTCTGATATGATTCAACTTTGTATAGAGAAAGTGATTTTACAAACCACTGTTTTCTTAACTATTGCAAATTCCGTGGATTTTCACTGTAGAGGTGTGTGCTGTGGTGCAGCAGTGGGATCACTGCGTAGGATGCTGCACCTGACCCTGAAGGGATCGGGATAAAGTCTCCACACCACGTTGGGCAGTCTCCTGTTCACACGCAACCTGGGATGCATCGGATGATACACTCCTCAAGCAGCCAGCTCCCTGCCATTAATGTGAGACATCTGGAACGGGTCATGGCTCCTCACTTCTGCCTGGAAAACTCCCTGCTGTCCTTTACATTTAGGGACAGATGGAAGATATCATTTTCTCTTTCTCACTTTGTCTTTCAAATAAATAAAAATAAACTAATTTTTCAAAAATAAAAGAAATAGACGCATTAAGAAATCATCTACGGACTTAGGTATTTCCAATGAATATTGCAAAAATTGCTATTGCTTTTAGAGGCAGCATTATATTTCAGGTATTTTAGATGTTTTCTAAACATCTTCAACAATACTGAGACTCAACCTGACTTAAGTGTTATCTATCCATAACTGGGATCAGACTGAAAACATCCAGAGGAAGATAATGATTTGCTTTCTTTCTAATTAACTTTAGTTTGAAAAACTGCATATTTTCTTATATATGCAAAATACTGTATGCCAAGGTGTTTAGACTGTTCCCAATGTATCATGGTACAGTACTATGTAGTACTCAGTACTCCTCTTACAAAACACAACATTTGCATTACCTTGGAACAACCTGATCCAGAAACCTTCCCCTCACCACACTTCCGTGAGTTTTTAGTTTAATACCTCCACATAAGTTCCTAAGTAACTACATTTTTTTAAATCACTTTAATAACTTTATTCAGACATAACTGTTACACAATTATATACTTAGAGTATATAATTTGTTTTCATTTTAACTTCTGGATGCTATATAAATTCTATTTTCAAACACTTTAAATATTAGATGCCTATTATTAAAAACTTTTATCACCTAAGCTGTCACAAATGAGCTATATTTATTGTTTACAGCCAGCCTATGAAACCACCACTAAAACCATGACAGTGTAAACGCAGATGTGGATATGCATTTTTATAACCGTGACTTCCAGGAATTCCCTCATGCCTCTCTTAACCCTTTCCTTTAAACCATCCTACAGTGCCCACCTGCTCATGTCCTTGCCGTCCTCAGCACTTCGCACTCTGCAGACTCAGGGAAGTGCAATCACACACAACAGCTATTTTTTTGTCTGCATTCTTTCAGCATAAGGCATCTCAGAGGCATCCATGTTGTTGCCTTATCAATAAGTTACTCCTTTTTATCCATTGTATGGATAACATTACATATTATTTATCCATTCGCCTACTAATGGACATTTGGGTTCCTAACTAATTTTAGGCTATTATAAACAAAGCTACTGCTAGGAGCATTTGGGTATAAGGGTTTTTTTCTGACATAAGCTTTTTTTCTGATATAGAGCTAAGAGTATAACAGCATGCAAAATGCATTTTTAACTTTTTAAAAAACTGTCAAACTGCTTTCTAGTATGCTTAATTTTACACTGCATCAACATAAGAAATATGAAAATTCCGGTCCCTCAAATATTTAACATTACTTTTGGAATATTAGTTATTCTAATAGTATTATCTCATTACAGTTTGAATTTACTCTTCCCTAATGCCTGATCGTATTAAGTATTCTGTCACATGCCAACAGCTTATATATGCATTAACCTGTCTATTGAAATCTTGTATTAATTTTTAGGTAGAGGTGCTTTTTGTTGAATAATGAAATCCTTTCTATGTTTTGATACAAATCCTTTACCAGCTACGTTTTACACGTATTTTCTAATAATGCAATGCATTTCTTTCATTGTTGGTACAGTGTCTTTTGAAGAATGGGGAGTTTTTAACTTCATGGGCACTACTGGTATCATTTCTAAGAATTTTCCTTTCTTTATTTATTTGAAAGGCAGAGAGACAAAGAGAGGAGACACCCACACAAACACACAACCTGTGAGCAAAACAAAGCAGAGATGTCCTATCCATTGGCCTATTATCTACATAGCTACAAGAGTCGGGTCTGGACCAGTTTGTATAGTTTAAGTCCTTATAATTTTAAAATCCTCACCTCGCACATGCCAGGATCCCATTTGAGCATCAGTTCTAATACCAGCAGCCCTGCTTCCCAACCAGCTCCTTGATTGTGGCCTGGGAAAGCAGTTGAGGACAACCCAAAGCTTTGGAACCCTGTACCTGTGTGGGAGACCTGGAAGAGCTCCTGGCTCCTTGCTTTGCATCGGCTCAGTTCCAGCCATTGCAGCCACTTGGGGAGTGAAACATCGGATGGGAGATCTTCCTCTCTGTCTTTCCTCCTCTCTGCATATCTGACTTTCCAATAAAAATTTTTAAAAAAAATAAATAAGGAGGAAAGGTTGAGAAGAGAAAGTTTGGGTGACAGTATCATTAATTATGAAGAAAATATGTGTCAACTAAAGTTTCTAAAACTAAAATGACAATAGCAACAATTACTTACAAAATGTGATTGAAATCTTTGTTTTACAGTCGTGATCTCAGCTAAGGAAATTGTATGATTACTAAACAGGCAAGAGGACAGGCAAAGAAACCACTGACATACACACTGACCTGAGCAGCTCCCAAAGGGGGGACGCGTAAACGCTTCATAGCTTTTTGTCTGTCACCATCTTCAAGTTCATTGGTCACTACAGCCTAAAAAGACGTTATTAAATTATGAAATGATATGCTAAATCTGAGTGATACAATAATACTTATGTGCCATCACTATATTTTTGAATGTGTGTGTGCTTTTCTAGTAATTTCTTGGTGAGTATACACTAGCAAAACAAAAGGAAAGAAATCACAAGATAATATATATTGAAAGCTATCAGCTGCTTAGACGAATGGAAATCAAAAAGTATTTTTTTAAAAATCAGACATGGATGTGATTGCAAACAGATGGCTGGTAAGTGGATTACTATACCTCAGTTTCAGAGATGAGCTGGTTAATTTTCTTGCATGTATAAAATGGGGCCACTTCTACATGAGCCACTCGCCAATCTGCTCCTCGAGACGTTTCCAGGATCTTGTCATGCTTTTTAAGGATTTTTCGAAATCCTGTGAAATTCAGATTCTACAGAAAGAAATTAAAAACACAAAGTAAAATTTCTACTGCTATTAAAGATGGAAGGCTGAGGACACAGCGCTTCCATGTAAGGAATACTCCCAGGAAGTGTCACGCATGTATCACACACCAAACACACTTTGTTCTCTGCACTTTGAGGAAGCAGTATAACTGTGCACTTGCTCCCCACCCCCACCATGCCAGCATGCAGGTGCCAGTGAGACACAGGGGAAAATCACCTGCTTCTCCTGAGCCACACACTACATCCTCACTCTGCAGGTGGAGTGTGACGTTGACCAGCAGAAAGAAGCAGCTAGGCGCGGGCTCAGCCGAGGATGGGTCGGAGCCCCTATTTTTGCTCAGTCTCTGTCTCAACAAAATATTATGATTCTCTACATTCTCAAACTGAATTGTGCTTTACAAAAAAAGCAGGGAGCCATGGAGTTCCAAAGTTAAATCTAGAAATCAGAAGTTTCTCCAATTGGCCAATCAGATGTCCCAGTCAGTGAAATCGCCATCACTCACTGCCAACGGGCACTGCTTGCCGGTCCATGATCTTCCCCTCACACTTCACTGGAACGAGGGAGGCGCGTGGCAGAACCTGGGCAGCTTTTAGTCAACCTTGCTTTCCTCTCTCACGCTCAGAGGAAATGGATTCTTACAGAACACACAGACCCCAGAACCGCATGTTGGAACACAACTTTTACAATTAAAACCTACTTTTGTTTTCCCACAGAGAATTTTATAATGATCCAAAACACAATTATAGCAAAGGTTAATAAAATAAAATTTGAAGGAAACTTCCCTGTGATGTACAGGCATAGAACTAATAAGCTAAGAAATGTTAATGTCTTTAAGGCAAAATAAAAAAGTGAACATGTTTTATTTCATTTAAAATTCGAATTATAAAATTTAAAAATAAAATTAAATTATACAAGGTGGGAAGAATAATTATCATCATGTTTTTAAAACTGTCTAGGAAATACATGAGCGGCTGGTGCTGTGGCACAGTGAGTAAAGCCACCACCTGCAGTGCCGGCATCACATGTGGGCACCAGCTGGAGTTTTGGCTGCTTCATTTCCATTCATTCTAGCTCCCTGCTACTGTGCTTGGGAAAGCAATGAAGGGTGACTCAAAACCGCTTTAGTCCTTGCAACAAGGGTGGCAGGAAGTCTGGAAGAAGCTCCTGGCTTCTGGCTTCCAGTCAGCCCAGCTCCAGCCACTGGCAACAATTTGGGATGTGAAGCAGCAGATGGAAGATTCATCTAGCTGTTTCTCCACCCCCTCTCAGTAGTTTTCCCTTTCAAATAAATAAATACATCTTTTAAAAAAGAGAAATGTATGAAATCTGTTCTCTATATACAAATAATAAAGTTATAAGACACTGGATAAACTTCAAAGAAAAGGAATAATCATTATATTGCACAATGTGAATCTTGTATTAAACTATCTTCCAACTGAGTTTTTCTTTGAATAATAACATTATCATCAATAGGGAAACTTGAATTATTGGAAGAAGAATATGAAAATAAATACACACATGGACAACTTAATTACTGTAGATTTGGGACCGCAATTACTTTTATTTTGAAATTCTTATTCCCAAGGAAATATTTCTGTAGCATAATCTGCAGCTCTGTAAGGTTTCTCATCCTATGATAATCCTTACCACTCATAAGCAATAACCAAAAGAACAAAATGGGGGGGGGGGGAAGGAGTATCAGGTCTCTGAAGGCTTTAATGATTTTAACAGTTAATATTCACAAATAGTATGCTTTTCAATTAAATTCCTTACAGATTAAAATATGCCAACAAACATAAAGTAAAAACAAACGAAAAGGGATGGTGCAATGGCTCAACGGCCTAATCTTCTACCCGCAAGTGCCAGAATCCCACATGGGCACTGGGTCACGTCCCACCTGCTCCACTTCCAATGCAGCTCTGTGCTTACGCACTGGGAAAGCAGAGGAGCGTGGCTCCAGCGCTCAGGATACCGCATGCACATGGGACAGCCGGAAGAAGCTGCTGGCTTTGGATCAGCTCAGCTCCAGCCACTGGGACCATTTGGGGAAGTGAAATACCAGATGGAAGAACTTTCTGTCTCTTCTCTCTGTAAATATTTCTAATAAAAAAAAATTCTTAAAAATGATAATAAATAAATAAATAAATACCCTATATTTCTACAATTTAGAAAAGTTGAAGCTCAGCTTTTTCAGATTGGGTTTTAAAACCCAATTGAGCTAAGCACTAGATTTTAAGTCTACACACATTTGCCATACCCAAATTTCTACTCTTTCTTAAGATGTTTAAAAGAGTAACAATTAAAATGGCTATATTGCAGCTTTTGGACAATGAAGTTGGAGACACTCTTTCAGCAGTAAGCTGAGAAGTCCCGATCTTCAGTTTTATTATTGTTCACTGCAGAAATGTTAACAGCCCAAGCCATCTGGAAGCATCTCGTTCCTGCCTAGAAGGAAAAGCCTCCCACGTGGCCAAACGACGCTCACACAGATCATTTCTTATTTCTGCTCATCATTACCAGAGTTGCTGCTAAAATTAGAAACAAGCAGTGAGCCGATAAGGCTACCCTGAATAGTATTCATACCGTTTTAGAAAACTAATATTCAAAACCAGCAGTCTAATTACCAGTGTATTACCATCTCTGGTGTGTGGCTCCCAGCCAATCAGGGCATCTGAAATCCCAGCAAGAGCCCTGGGAACATGCTAAGGATTTTCCTTTTGCAATGGACTCACTGGCATTGTTCGAGACAATTCCACACTGGCATTTCTCTTTTCCCCTGAAGGAGCCGTTCCCCTGTAATTACCTGATAGTTCTGCAGCAGGATGAGACTGAGGTAGAACTCGCTGAAGGCCAGTTTAAGGTCTTTGATATTCCTATGTTGGACACGTTCCTCATGGGACAGGTGGAAGACTGGCTTCCTGCGCTGTCGCAGTGTAGTGACACCGGCACTTTCCTTCTGTGCATCCAGTGAGGACTGCAGCTCATTCTGAAGGGTGGCAAACCTGCGCTGAGCCTCCGCGAGCTTCTCTGTAAGGGAACAAAAGGGTCAGGAAGGAGGACGAAAAGGCCCTGAGAGTTCTCAGCGTGGGAGCGGGTGTCTGGTGCAGTGGTTACAACCGCCTGGGATGCTGGCGGTATGTGTCAGAGTGGCTGCACTCAGGGCCCATGTCCAAGGAGGTAGCAGGTGATGGTCAAGCACCTGGGTTTCTGAAACTCATCATGTGAGAGACTGAGACAGCTCTGGACTTCTGACTGTGGCCAGAGGGGGTCCCAGAGGTTGCAGGCATCTAGGTAGTGAACAAGGGAAGGAACATGTCTGTCTCTTTCAAGGAAAATTATTAAAATCTTTGTTAAAATTTTTTTGTTGTCCATTGTCTTTTGACTAATTATTCTAACTTGTTTCCTTAAATATTACATGTAATATTTACAACTAGATGGGGAAAAACTGTTTAACAGCCCTTTATTCTCTCTCACCTTTTCATAACTCACAAAATCTCTCATGTGACCTTGCCTTTTCTTTTTACAGAAGAAGCAAAATGCAAAGAGCTATTGAGGATGAAGATAAAATGGTACAGCGCACTGGAATCTGAAAGAGTTTGGTAGACCCCAAAGGGTAAGCAGAGTCATGGTATGATTCGGTCACTGCACTCCCAGGTCTAGACCCAACAGAACTGAAGACTCAGAGTCACACAGAAGCTTCTACACCTCTAAACCAGCACAGGCAATGCAAATGACCATCAGCTAATGAATGGATATGTAAAAACAATATATAATGTACACACACACACACAATGGAGTATCAGCCATTAAGGAGACTGAGTACTCGAATTCACACTACAGTATTAACAAATCTCAAAAGCCTTAAGGGAAAGAAGAGACAGAATACACTTCACATGTATGACTGTATTTATATGAAAGGTCCAGCGTAGGGATATTCACAGAAAGTAGGTTAATGGACGCCCGGGGCTGGCAGAAAGTGGAATGAGGAGTGACTGCTAATAGGGATGAGCTAACCCTTCGGGACTGATGAAAATGTTCTGTAATTGGATAGTGACAATGTTTGTACAAACTTTGTAAACATGCTGAAAACCCTGAACATACACTTTGAAAGGGTAATGCAGGGATGGAACGCCCGGGCTTGGGTTTCAGCTCTACTCCCAAACCCAGCTTCCTACTCAGGCATACCCAGGGAGGTGACAGGTGGGAAGTGAAACAGCTGGGTGCCTTCCACCCGCAGGGAGAGCAAGCTCCCAGGCCCTGGCTGCGGCCCTTGTGGCAGCCACGTGGGGAGTAAACCACTGTGAACTGAAACCCACTCGCTGCCTGTCTGTCTGTCTCTCCCTCTTTCTCCCCTTCTCTGCCTCTGAAAAAGAAATTAATTAAAGGGCAATTAATATAGTATGCAAATACCCCAAATCTTAAGAAAGCTATTAACAAATGTTTCTAATTATATACTTAGTACAGAAATTAGAATTGGCATTTAAATTTTTAATTGCTGCATTTCTCCTTCCCTCTCATCACTTTCTCAACACATGCATATGGAACAACAACAACAAATCCTGGCAACCTTTATTACCAAATACTAGGAATAGCTGAATTCATAAGTATTTCTATAATGTGTATACACACACACACACACACACATTAAAGAGGTCTGCAAAAAGATCATGGAAATGCAGATTATAAAATACTATTCCAAGTCTCAAAATTTTTTGAACCTAAATGAACACATCTTTTAATCAACCTCTCTGTGAAGTGTCACAGAACCCTCAATAGTTGTCCCTGAGTACCCATGAGGAATTCGTTCCAGGATCCAACATCCACATATGCTAGTCTCTTAAACAGAACGCTACTGCATTTGTAAATAACCCATGTACACCCTCCGGTAGCCACTAGAGTAATTAAAATATAAAGGATGTGCAGATATTTGTTGTACCATCTTATTTAGGGTACGAGAGGAATGAAAAAGTATCTATACATATTAAACACAGACATAATTTTTTCCTAAATGTTTACAATCTATAGTCGGTTGAATCCATGGGAGTACAACTGAAAGATCAGAGGGATGACTATGTTATAATAAAATAATGTCATCTGAGGGCTGACATTTGGCACAGTACTTAAGACACCATGTAACACAACTGTATCCTAGATGAGCATGCTCATGCATAGTGCCGGCTTGGCTTCTCATTCCAGCTTCCTGCTATGGCGACCCATCGAGGCAGCGGCTGATGTTCAGGTACTTGAATACCTGAATCTATGTGCAACATTTGGATGCACGTTCCCTGCCCCCTGATTGTGTGAGCACCTGCGGAGTGAACCAGTGGATGGGAAATCACTCTTACTCACAATTTATCTCTCTGCCTTTCAATTACATTTTAAAAATCATAGTAGCACGGAAACTTTTCTTCTGCAGTCACTGGATCCAGGCAGATCTAGGCTTAGATTTTTACCTCCTTAACTAGTTACATGATTTTAAATGAGTTGTCCTGTGAACCTTTTGGAGCCTATGATTGATGAAATACAGATAATAGCACTCCCTCCTAAAGTATAGAAAGATAAAATAAAAATCAAGCATAGAAAATGTCAAGGGACATAACACCCCAAAAATTAATGGGCATAAGTATACAATAATAACAGCATGAATAATCCATTCTTTCTTGAAGCTCCCCCATTCCTTACTTTGTATGTGATTCTATTCAAATTACTTTTCTATCTTTAGTAGTTCTATCTTGTCTGGCACTAGTTCATGATTCACTGCTCTCTCTTAGAGAAGTCTGCTTAAGGGTTTGTTCATTTGAAAGGCAGAGCTATGGGATTGGAGGAAGGTAGCGAGGAGGAGAGGGTTCACTCTCCAAATGGCTGTGACAGCCAGCACTGGACCCAGAGCAGGACCTCCAGCCCTGCATCCCACACCATCATCTGCTGCAGGAGCCAAACCTGCACTCCACAGTGGATGCTGGTGTCCCAAGTAGCAGCTGAACCCACGACTTCACAAAGCCATGCCTGAGAGAGTTTTTGTTTGTTTGTTTTAAAAGATTCTTTTGTTGAAAAGGCAGATTTACACAGAGAAGGAAAGACAGAAAGATTGTCCACCTGCTGGTTCACTCCCAAAATGGCCACAACAGCCAGAACTGAGCTAACACAGAACTAGAAGTAAGGAGCATCTTTCGGGTCTCCACGTGGCTGCAGGGGCCCAAGGACTTGGGCCATCCTTTGCTACTTTCCCAAGCCATAAGCAGAGAGCTGGATGGGAAGTAGAGCAGCTGGTACATGAGCCGGCACCCATATGGGGGATCCTGGCACTTGCAAGGGGAAGAATTAGCCAATTGAGCCAGCATGCTCCCAATCCTCTTTCCAAATTAACCTCATCGGTCTTTGTAGATCCGTCCAGACATCTGGGGTCTGCTTCCAGTTACTTGAGAACACTCTTACCCTTCTCTTTCCACTAAGGATACTTCTGAGGCCCAGAAAATGCACCCTTTCCTATTGCATGCAAAAACACCAACATCAGTGAGGAAAGCACCTGCACCTTAAAACTTGGTTGCTCTCCACTGCAGGCCAGACTGGCTGTGCAAGGCGATATCCAGTGATTTCAGTGGAGATGCAACACTTGGCCATCAAATAATTGGCTGCACTGCCCATAAAGGGCGAATATCCAAAATCTTAATGCAGTTCATTGAGCATAATAATAAAATAAATGGGGCCCAGCAGCGTGGCCTAGTGGCTAAAGTCCTCGCCTTGAAAGCGCCGGGATTCCATATGGGCGCCGGTTCTAATCCCAGAAGCTCCACTTCCCATCCAGCTCCCTGCTTGTGGCCTGGGAAAACCGGCATAGCATCGGCTGTTGCGCTCACTTGGGGCGTGAAATCATCGGACAGAAGATCTTCCTCTCTGTCTCTCCTCCTCTCTGTATATCTGACTTTCCAATAAATAAAATAAATCTTGGGGGGGAAAATGGCTTAGAATAGGGGATATCATGTTGTGTGAAACAAGCCAGACACGGAAACACAAACATCACATATGGAAGGTAAAATTTAAAAAAAAAAAAAAAGGCAAAACAAAATCAAATGCCTTGTCTACCAGTTTTGCCACAAATACAGTGTTTTGCCAAGCTGTTTTAAATATTGTCAAAAAATGTATACGAACCGCATACTACTATAGTTTCAATGATTTTGTGACTATTTTAAAATTTACTTTGTCGAACATCTTTCATTGATCATTTACTTTTTATTTGCTTAACTTCTAATGGAGTGTTAAGTCTTTGACTATGTCATGTAACATTAAAAAGTACTGAACATAATGTAAATTTAAAATGTTATTTCAAAAATAATTTTTAAAAAATTAAGCAAAAACAAAAGATAAAACTTCAAAGTTAATGCTATCGCCACAAAGACAGGTGACTACTCCCATTTCACCCTCTGTCTACGCCGTGAACAAATGGCTCACGCTTTGGGCAACTTATTTTATGCTTTTACTTTTCTTAAAAACATCTAACTTGCCTGCTTATTATATATGTTTTACACAGTACTCTAGAGTAATAGATTCTGCTGGAATTCCTTTGTAGTCTTCCATATTGAAACAGAATCTTAACATAGTTTTAAATTTCATCTCTTTCCATACAAGTTAAGCGTTTCTACTGGAAAGTGTCCGTTTCATCCTGATGATGAAAAACAGTAATGAACTTCTTACTTCTTTCTGGGTTTATGGTACATTCAGTATCTTGGTACTTTTTTCATGATGCTCCCAGGCCAAAGAAACACTTAATATATCTGCTTTGTAAGCAGTTTGGTACAAACAACTGATATATATATATGTATATTTTTTCTAACAACTTAGCAGATACATTAAAAAATGTTACAGGTCTGGTGTTGAAGTCTATTGGCTAAGTCCTCACCTAGCATGTGCTGAGATTTCCTATGGGTACCAGTTGGTGTCCTGGATGCTCTACTTCCCTTCCAGCTCCCTGCTTGTGGCCTGGGAAAGCAGCAGCCCAAAGCTTTGGGACCCTGTAGCTGCACGGAATA